GGTTCTTATATGAAAATAAATAGGATAACGTAATTAGAATTGAGTATAGATAAAATCAACTTTCGTTTTTTCGTTTCGTTTAGTTTTTTGTTTTGTTTTTGTCTAAATAATCTACTTTTATTTGGGCTATCGGTATAATATCGGGCTATACTTTTATTCGGGCGGAGGGTATGTTGAGTTGAGCTGACTCTGAACTTTAGTTTCAAAACATTTTCCAATATCTTATCTTAGACACAATTTGAGATTCCTTCAAAAAATATTTACAACTGTCTTTTGAACATATGATTGAATATTTATTTAATTCCGATAAGGTGTTTACATTTTAAATGCATTTTCGTTTTGTTTACTAACACGTTTACGATTTTATCTGTGGCATTTATGATGAAACTGCGAATTACGTAAATGAGTCGATTATTATTGTTCGTTTTATTATTTTTTTCCAGTTATTGCTTTTTGTGTGTTTACTCAAATTTATTTGTATCTACGATGAGTAATTTAGATGATGGGCACTACAGCGTCCTTGAACATAAAAGTGACAGTTCTTCTTGCGTAACACCAATGCACAGTCTTGGGTGTACTGATAAAAATGTTATACCTTCCCAATACCATAATAAAGGGGATCAGATTGTGGTCACAGTTCCTGCAAAGAAGCGTAGGCGCAATTCGACTTTAACAGGGAGGCGTGAGAGAGGTGTTAATTTCACAAGAAAGACTTTAGTTGAAAAACCATTCTTGAAGACGTCTTCAAGCAGTGCCTTTTCAGACAAAATTACAAATGAGTCTAATGTACCTTCCCAATCCCATAGTAAAGCTGATCAGATTGAGGTCACAGTTCATGCAAAGAAGCGTAGGCGCAATTCGACTTTAACAGGAAGGCGTGAGAGAGGTGTCAATTTTACAAGAAAGACTTTAGTTGAAAAACCATTCTTGAAGACGTCTTCAAGCAGTGCCTTTTCAGACAAAATTACAAATGAGTCTAATGTACCTTCCCAATCCCTTAGTAAAGCTGATCAGATTGAGGTCACAGTTCATGCAAAGAAGCGTAGGCGCAATTCGACTTTAACGGGAAGGCGTGAGAGAGGTGTCAATTTTACAAGAAAGACTTTAGTTGAAAAACCATTCTTAAAGATGTCTTCAAGCTGTACCTTTTCAGACAAGATTCCAAATGAGTCTAATGTACCTTCCCAATCCCATAGTAAAGCTGATCAGATTGAGGTCACAGTTCATGCAAAGAAGCGAAGGCGCAATTCGACTTTAACAGGAAGGCGTGAGAGAGGTGTCAATTTTACAAGAAAGACTTTAGTTGAAAAACCATTCTTAAAGCCGTCTTCAAGCTGTGCCTTTTTAGACAAGATTCCAAATGAGTCTAATGTAGTACCGATGTCACACAACGCTACTTCATCAAAGATAGGGCAAATTACCGTGAGTAATAATTCTTTGAAGACTAATTTTCCTACTTTTGATATGATTCCTATTGTTGGTGACGGAAACTGTTTATTTCGTGCTATATCTTACTGTTTGCATGGTAGTGAAAATAGACACTCTGAAATAAGATCAGTTATTGTTGATGATGTAATAAGAAAGTGGAATTTATATAGATATTTCATAGTTGGGGACACTTCTTATGGACATTATATTAAGAACGTTAGTGATTACGAAACTGTGATGTCCGCCAATGGACAAAAAGCAGGGCATGTTGAACTTAACAGTGCTGGTGAATTATTTCACGAGTGTAAATTTAAGGTGCACATTGAACATACTAAATCAATAATTGAATTTGGTTCTGGTAGAATAATTCACAACCTACTCTTCACAGGTAATTTAGATGATGGACACTATAGCGTCCTTAAACATAAAAGTGACAGTTCTTCATGCGTAACACCAATGCACAGTCTTGGGTGTACTGACAATAATGTTATACCTTCCCAATCCCATTATAAAGGGGATCAGATTGAGGTCACAGTTCCTGCAAAGAAGCGTAGGCCTACGAGCAATTCAACTTAAACGGGGAGGCGTGAGAGGGATGACGATGTTACTAGAAAGACTGTCGTTGAAAAACCATTCTTAAAGCCGTCTTCACGATGTGCCGTTTCTGAAGAGATCCCAAATGTACGTGCTTTCTCTGTAGGGAGCCTTCAGGAAGTGTGTAGACATTGCTCTGCATTGTATTTAAAAGCGGAAAAAAATACATCGGGGATCTTTTCCTTGTGTTGCTATGATGGGAAAATTAAGTTACCACCCAATAAAATTCCTGAGGAGATAAAAAAACTATATACTGGAAATGATGAAAAATCCAAAAACTTCCGAGAAAATTTAAGGCAGTACAATAATGCAATGTCGTTTGTTTCTTTTGGTGCTAATGTAGACCTACCTCCGAGTTATGGTCCTTATACCTTCAGAATCCATGGCATGGTCCACCACTTAATTTCGCCTTTATATCCCAAGGATTCACAAAGTGCTTCTTATGGCCAGTTATATATTCTTGACTTCGCCAAATCTAATGAAATTAGGATTTCTCACAATGCTAACGTAAATTTAGACAAAAATACACTAAATGATTTAAGTAATTTGTTAGACAAATGTAACCCCTATGTTCGATCTTACAAAACCATGCACCAGAAAGTAGAAGAGGAAAAACTTCATGCACAGAATGGGAACCGTGTTCCTCTTAATTTTGTTATGAGGTTCTATCATGAGCCATTTGCAGATCAGCGTCGTTACAATGACCCAGCTGCCTCTGAAATTGCGGCTGTTTTCGAGACGGAGGATGGTGCGCCACATTCACATAGACATATTACAGTGTATGAAAAGGAAGGAGGTTTAAAGAAAATCGATTATGATAGTATGCACTGTGACCCCATGTGTTATACTTTAATTTGGCCCTGCGGTGAAACTGGTTGGCATATAAATTTGCCTATTGAAGGAACGCGTGAAACAAAAATACGGAAAACTGTTACCATGCGAGAGTATATTCTATACAGAATTTCAGTTAGGGGAAATGGTTGTGCTGGAAACTTTAATCCTATAGTAAGCGCTGGAAAACTTACTCAACAGCTTTTTGTAGACTATTATTGTCGTATTGAAGGAGATAGACTAAAATACATTCGAAGAGAACAAACAAAATTACGTGTAGACACTTATGTTGGTTTGTCCGATGCTTTACGTATAAGGGCTGAACAGGATAAGTTAAGAGTAGGTCGGATCGTAGTTTTACCATCGTCCTTTATTGGTAGCCCCAGGAATATGATGCAGAATTATCAAGACGCTATGGAAGTTCATTAGTCAGGAAGTTTGGGAAACCTGACCTTTTCATAACATTTACCTGCAATCCGGCATGGCCTGAAATAACAGGGAGTATTCATACTTGGGAGACGCCAAATAACAGACCAGACATTGTTGTAAGGGTATTTCATACTAAGGTTCAGGAGCTAATACGTCTACTGTGTACAGTTGGGATATTTGGAGCAATAAAAGCATTTTTGTATACAGTGGAGTTCCAAAAGCGTGGATTGCCCCATGTTCATTTGCTTCTAACGTTAGATGATGATTGTAAGTTTAGGGATCCAGAGGACATTGACAAAGTTGTTTCGGCCGAAATTCCCGATCCCATAAACCAAGATTTGTATGACTTAGTTAGTAAGCACATGGTGCATGGGCCGTGTGGTATATTAAATCCTTCCTGTGTATGTATGAAGGATGGAAAATGCAAAAAAGATTTCCCTAAATCCTTTATTGAGGAAACGCAAGATAATGTTAATGGCTATCCGATTTACAAGCGTAGAAATAATGGGAGAACCATAACTAAACGTGCAACTGGAGACGATGTAAATGTTACAAATCAGTTCATTGTACCATACAATCCATTTCTTCTTCTATATTTCCGTGCACATATTAATGTAGAGATCTGCTCCAGTGTACGATCTATAAAGTACATCCATAAGTATGTATATAAAGGTCACGATTGTTGCAATATAGAGGTAGCAAGGGAAAACGATGTACTTGATCACGATGAAATTAATTTATTCCTGAATGCTCGATATGTTGGACCAAGTGAAGCTGCTTGGAGAATGTTTGCATATTGCATGCACGATCAATCTCACACTGTGGTTAGATTGCCAGTCCATTTACCTGATTCTCAGAATGTTTACTTCAGAAACGATGCCCCGGAGGAAGGTTTAATCCAAGCACAGTTAAAAACTACCCAATTAGTAGCATGGTTCAAGTTGAACAGCAATCCTTCAACTAGAAGTCCTTATGTATATCCCGAAACACCAGTTCACTATGTATGGAAGAAAAATGAATGGCATAAACGTAAACACTATTCTAGAACGATTGGCCGAATGTATAATGTTTCACCTGCGGATTCCGAGCGATATCATTTACGTATATTATTACTACATGTGATTGGTGCTACCAGTTTTGAAGATTTGAAAACGTATGAAAATTTCACACATCCTACATTTAAGGCAGCAGCAACAGCACGAGGATTAATATTGGATGATATGGAATGGCAGCGAGCCTTACAAGAGGCCTCTTCTTTTCAAATGCCATACCAGCTTCGACAGTTGTTTGCCTACATCTGTATATTTCAGTGTCCATCAAATGTTCTGAATTTGTGGAATCTCTTTAAGGACTCAATGTCTGAAGATTTCCTTAGATCATACCCGACCGAAGTAGCTTACCAATTAGCTCTGAAAGATATTTCAGAAACGTTAAAATTACATGGTTTCTCTCTGAAGTCATTTGATTTACCATCTATTGATGAATTGCCTCAAAATACATGTATAGAGGAAACTATAGATGAAATCCAACATGATGAACTAGCGAAAATGATCGCTTCATCAAATGAAGAACAACGTGTTGTGATTGATGAAATTCTAAACTTACTTCTAAACAATGATGAGTCTGCAAGTGTTAAGGCATACTTCATAGATGGACCTGGTGGCACCGGAAAAACATTTGTATATAAATGCTTAATCCAGAGCTGCATTAATATTGGAATGCCAATCATATCCGTTGCATGGACTGGGATTGCTGCTATGTTACTTCCCTTTGGCCGCACAGTTCATAGCCGATTTAAATTACCACTGAATTTGAATGAACATTCTGTCTCCGGCTTAAAAGTCAACAGTAAAGAGGCTTCTATCATTCGTTCTGCAAAATTAATAATTTGGGATGAAGCACCTATGGCCAACAAATATGCTCTAATGTGTGTCAACCGGCTACTGAAAGATATAATGGATAACGATGTGCCATTTGGTGGGAAAATCATTATCTTAGGTGGAGATTTCCGGCAAGTGTTGCCGGTTGTGCCTCATTCATCTAGAGCCTCTACTGTTCAGAATTCAATTAAGTTTTCATACCTATGGCCACTATTCAAAATTTTTAAATTAACAAAAAATATGAGGGCTAAAACTAATGAGTTAGATTTTGCTAACTTTTTGCTCGAAATTGGCAATGGGGAATACCCAACAATTGATGACAAATCTGTGGACTTACCCCCACCACTTATCTCTGATTCAGACATAGTTTCAGAAATTTATGGAAAAAACCTACAAACGCCTATGGACTCATCGTACTTATCAAAATGTGCCATTTTAGCACCAAAGAATGAGCATTGTGAGGAAATCAATAAAAGAGTTTTAGACCTCATCCCAGGCTCAAGCAAAACATATATAAGTGTGAATAAACTAATTACAGATGATGACAGTGAACTATTGCAATTCCCTATTGAATTCCTCAACAGCCTTGAGATGACTGGTTTGCCTTCTCACAAATTAGTCTTAAAGGAAGGTGCCATTGTGATGTTATTAAGAAATTTAAACTACACAGCAGGTCTTCTAAACGGAACAAGACTTATTGTCAAGAAAATGTATGAAAACAGTTTAGACTTAGAAATCATAACTGGCACAAATATTGGACAACGTGCACTATTACCCCGCATTGATCTCTCTCCATCAGATTCTACAGTACCATTTTCTTTCAAACGAAGACAATTCCCCATAAAGGTTGCGTTCTGCATGACCATCAACAAGGCGCAGGGCCAAACGATTGATCGAGTTGGTGTGTACTTGCCTGAACCAGTATTTAGTCACGGTCAGTTGTACGTCGCCTTATCGAGAGGGAAATCTTTCGATACTGTAAAAGTAGAAACTAAATCAAAAGGTGGACGAACAGCAAACATTGTTTGGAAGGAAGTATTATAAAAGTCGTAATATTAATAAAGATTACCAGATGGAGGGAACTACTCCTGAGAATATGCGTAGGCCTACATGCAATTCTACCGACAGAGATGTCTATTTTACAAGAAATATTGTTGTTAATAAAACATTCTTAATAAAGCCTCATTCACGCTGTGTTACATATGAGTTAACAAATGTACGTGCTTTCTCTGTAGGTGCTTTTAGGAAGTGTGTGGATATTGTTCTGGATTAATTGATTTTCAAAACGGAAAAAAATACATCGGGACGATTTTCTCTGTGTTGTATGGAATGTGTTATACTTTAATTTGGTCATAAGGCGAAATTAATCCAGCAGCCCTATAAGAGTTTAATTAAAGTTGTACCGCCCTTATTTAGTTTAGTATTTTATTTTTTTATTATTAATTTCAATGCTGCGGAGCAGCACGGGTCATCTAGTGAGAAATGAAATTATTGAATCTTAACAGCTGTTTCAATTAAACAAGTTGGTTCTGTTCTGTGATGTTCAATAGCATTAAAGTTACAAGGATTACCAACAGGGTGCAGCACTAGCACTATTATTTCTTTTACATTTATGACAACAGCTAATTTGCAACCAAAAGGTGAGTGAGCGTAGCGAACGAACTTCAACCTGGAGGTGAGTGAGCGTAGCGAACGAGCTAACCTGAAGGCAAGTGAGCGTAGCGAACGAGCTAACCTGAAGGAAAGTGAGCGCAGCGAACGAGCTCCAACCTAAAGGTGAGTGAGCGTAGCGAACGAACTTCAAAAAGAACCGAAATTTCTTAAACCATGTCCTCACTCATAACTGCTATAAGCATTTGATACTTATATGCCAACCCCGTACGAAGGACGGGTACTCTGCTAGTACTATTATAAAAAAGAGGTGGTTGCTGTATGTGTGTATGGGAAAAGTAAACTCGAAAAATACTGGTCGGATTGGGCTGAAATTTGGCATGATGATAGCTCACATTCCCGATTAACATATAGGCATATTCTTATTTCAAAAATCCTTTCGGGCTCCACCCCAGTGGCTCTGGATGTTTCCCATGTTAACCTTACGAGAAATGGAATTATTGAATCTTAACAGCTGTTTCAATTAAACAAGTTGGTTCTGTTCTATGATGTTCAATAGCATTAAAGTTACAAGGATTACCAACAGGGTGCAGCACTATTATTTCTTTTACATTTATGACAACAGCTAATTTGCAACCAAAAGGTGAGTGAGCGTAGCGAACGAACTTCAACCTGGAGGCGAGTTAGCGTAGCAAACGAGCTAACCTGAAGGCAAGTGAGCGCAGCGAACGAGCTCCAACCTAAAGGTGAGTGAGCGTAGCGAACAAACTTCAACCAGGACGTGATTGAGCCATGCGAACGAGATAATCTTGAAAATTAAGAAGTTAAACGGGGCAAAGCCCGCGGGTTACAGCTAGTAATTTTATAAAAATCCCAAACAGACCGACAGACAGATATCTAGGCACTTTAGACCCATACTTATAAGGTGTTTTATGTTTGTCTTAGCCCAGGGAACAAGTCCAAAAAATATGTCCAGACAATTCGGAAACACTGTATACTTTCTTAAGTCCTAGGATCGTATATAACTTACAACACTATTTCTCAACTTTACTAAGCAATCTTTCGTTCTGTGCTGTCAGACCATGAACTATTTCGTTTATATTTCCATACTAAAAGTTAATATATATATAGATCCTTTATTTGCTAATTTAATAGGTATATGTATAATATATGGGCCCAAATATTTTCCCTATCTTAAAGTTGTTTTATTAAATTGGAGAATTCTGAATCTGAATTATTAGCTCTCGTGTTTGCTGTTGTTTCACTAAATACTATGAATTTGATACATTCAATTGAAATAGTGTTATAATGGGGTACAGTGGGCAATGATTGTCTAAAATCACCAAACACTAATACAGGAACCCCACCAAACATTGATTGTATAAATTAATAATATACAAATGTAGTAGATATAGATAATTGGGGTGTTACACGATGTATTAATTAGCGAAGAAATCTTTTAGGAATCGCTTGACATATAATGGAAGTAGATTGTTTCCTCTTTGTATAAAATCTCTTTAATATCATAGTTATTGTAATATTTTATAAGAACAAGATAAAATCTAGTGTATTCAATTTATTCTCCATTTCAATCACAACTGAATTATTATTGTTATTTACAAAATTAACAATCAGAACAAAACAAAAGTCTTTAACATCTGGAATGCAACCAACATTATAAAATCAAATGCTGCTTCTTGTACAATTAATATAAACATATATTACACTCGCCAACACTTAAAATTTGCTTGGCTCATAATACTTTAAAACTTTAAAATTTCTTCTGACTCTTTGGCTTCTCCAACTTTATAGATCCAAATTCTCCGGCTTGTGCACAGTCCTCTGTGATCTCCTCAAAACTGTAGATGGACTGTATTGTACACCCCGTGGTTTCCCAACATCAGACTTCAATCTAGGCAAATAAGGTGAAGCATCATGTCTTGATATTGATGGTGATGTAGACTCCTGAAGAATAGGCAAATCTCTATTGAATTCTTGTTGATGTGCCTCAATAGTCCTTCCAACTTCCTCATTCCGCACAATGATTTCGTCCTCCTCTACCTCAGTTGGCCTAAGATGGTCTGCATGGCAAACTCTTGTTTTGCCAAGAACACTAACCAAATAAGTAACTGGACTTTTACACTGTAATATACGACCTGGAACCCAACTAACCTTCTCCTGTCTGACTGTTTGAGCCAACACCTTCTGATTTTCATTAAAAAATCTACACGCACCTCTATGCCTATCTGAGGCTCGTTTCTGCATTTCCTGCTTCTTCCTTGACTCGTCTAGTAGATTAGGTTTTAACATAGTCAATTTTGTTCGAGGTTTCCAACGTAAGAACAGTTCAGCCGGGCTCACACCGGTTACTGACGATGGAGTATTACGATCTGCGAAAAGAAAGTTATCCAATTTATACTGCAGTGATGTCTGCTGAGATGATTTTTCACCCAAAACTTGCCTTAACAAACTTTTCTTAACTTCTTGAACAGAACGCTCGGCTGCTCCATTGGAGGCAGGGTGATATGGTGGAGAAAATGTTAGTATCACACCATTTTTTCTAAGAAACTCCCTGAATTCTAGACTGGTAAAAGACGTGCCGTTGTCACACACCAACTCCTCAGGTAAACCATAAGCAGAAAATAGTGTACGAAGTTTCTCAATGGTCTTCCCCGTGGAAATAGAACCCATTAAAAATACTTCCATCCACTTTGAAAAACTATCCACTACAATCAACATTTGCTGTCTGGTGGTTGGATATTCAGCAAAATCGATATGAATTCGGCGCCATCTCTCGGAAGTTAACGGCCATTGCTGCAATGGAACTTTTGAAGCAGCATTTCTTGTACTTTGACAAATCAAACAAGATGACACAGCATCCTCAATTACTTTTTCGATCCCAGGCCACCACACGTGGCTGCGTGCCAACAATTTCATTCGAGTAATTCCAGGATGTTGTTCATGCAATATCTGGACGACTTTACCTTGCAATTTCTTAGGTATGACTACTCTACTGCCCCATAAAATGCAATTTTTATCCACTGACAATTCATCTTTCCTTCTCTGAAATGGAATTAACATTGGGTCTACAATTTAACGCCACCCATACAACACAAAATCCCGAACTTTAGACAACAGTGGGTCTTTATCAGTCAATTGTCCTATCTCTAAAGAAGTGATTGGAGAATCGTCACTCCCCGAATTGAAGAAGTTCATTTCTCTTACACAAGATTCCACATGAGATATATAATTTTCATCCAACTCCAAAGTTTCATTCTCGGGTAGTGGTAAGCGTGACAACGCATCAGCGTGAGGCAAACTGGAACCCTTCCGATATTTTACCTCAAAATTGTAGGCAGACAAAATCAGGGCCCATCGTTGTAGGCGAGCAGCAGCTAAACTAGGCACCCCTCGCTTCGATCCAAAAATAGCTGCTAGTGGCTGATGATCACTTTGTAAAATACAATTGGTACGCCCATAAATGTATTTATGGAATTTCTTCACTCCAAAGATCAGTGCCAACGCCTCCTTGTGGAGCTGTGAATAGTTCTTCTCACTGGCACTCAGTGTTTTTGATGCAAACGCTATAGGTCTTTCTTCTCCGTTTATGATATGGGACAAAATGGCAGAAACTCCTTTAGGACTAGCATCACAAGTGAGCACTAAAGGTTTCAAGACATTATAGTGTACTAAAACATCAGAACACAGAACCCAAGATTTACTTTCTTTGAATGTTTGAGAACATTGCTCGGTCCATTTCCATGGGACATCTTTCTTTAACAGTTCATAAAAACAATGAATTTTAGCAGACAAGTTTTGAATAAATTTTCTGACGTGTATTCACTTATAAAATTAAAAGTACAACTTAGTAAAACGAAACTTGACTTTAATCATGTAAAAACTAACTGACAACAAAAAGTAAACAAACTTGTTATTTGTATGTAACATATGGTAATAAATAATGTGAACTCTATACAGACAAAAAGCACGAACACTTCACCTTCTCGCCGAGATTGAACTACTGTCCTTGTCTTCAAGAAGGTTTTTATGCTTTAGTTGGTCAGCGTGTTTTTTAAAGATTCTTCTATTGTTACCTTCAACTTTCCACACGTTTCGCCCTAGTCTCTTCAAGATTACGCCGGGTTTCCACACAACATTTCCGTTTCTGGTTTCTGCCCAAAACACAGGTTCATTTATTTTGAAGTTTTTTAGGCTAGTAGTGGCTCCTTCTTTATTCTCTTTCTATTTTGTTTTACCTTCTTTATTTTCTTCCTCTTCTGTTTTAATCTGACTTCCTTTTTGGGGTTGAACTAAATCTAAGATACATCTTAGCTGACATCCTAAAAACAACTCAGAAGGTGACATTCCAGAAGTTATGTGTGGTGTTAACCTGTACTTAAATAAAAAGTTGTTTAAGTCAGCTTCCAAACCTTTAGGGGATTGT